CCATGATGTGAACATTTCTGTAAGTTCTTTAGAAGTCAGGCATTACAGAACAAACTTATTCCATGGAGCAATTTAATTGTAAAGCCAATCCATTTTTAAAAAGTAGTTCATTAACATGCTTGTGTTCAAAGCTCTGTACAACTACATGGGCTTTTGAATTCTTCTGAACTAAAAAGATTGGGCAAAATAAATTTATCTAGAAAATTAAAAATACTATCTTGTTCTTTTATTAATAAATAGTTGTCTACTAATGTATAAGGTAATATATCTTGCCAACAGAACAGTTCTGCAATTCAACATAGGTAACACAGAGCATTTATTCCATATTCTAGAACATATTTTTTCAGATGGACTATTCTGATAATCTATTATCCCTCCTCTTTAAAAAAAAAAAAAACTAAAGATTTAAAAAATATTTTATAATACTATTTAATAAACATATAGGTTTTAAAATAATGCCTTAATGTCCATAATTAAAAATACCTGTAAAGCTGAACAGTATATTTGGAATGTATAAGGCATCAGTGTATAGAAATAACTCAACAGAAAATGTGAGACTCTCAAATAATATTCCTAAAGTACAGCATAACTGATTTTTACCGCTATTGTTAATTCTGTATTCTCATACAGAAATCATTTATTTTATTGTAACTAACAGCATACATTTCAAATCGCAACTAGTTAATGTAGTCTAATCAAAAGGCAAATGTAGTGAACAAATAGGATAAGCACTTATAAATATTTGCCATATGCATTCATAAATTTACTTGTAAAAGTTTTGCGGTTTCCAATAATGTAGAAGTGTGCAATCAGCAAAAGCCTTCTTTCGTATTACAATATCATAGTAGGATATCATATAACTTCCGTTCAAATCTATTGCATGAAAATGACAAGAGTTGTGTTCAACTCTGCTAAGGTATAAGAAGATATCACAATTAAGGAAAGAATCTTTCTTCCTTTCTTCAATTAAAGCATGACAAGCAGATAATAGGATATTTTGAATTGATATCCGAAAGGCAGCTAAAAAACTACAAACTTCATATAGAAGGACTGAATAAGAAACAGATTGAAAAAAAATTAGCTTAAAAACGACATGTTTTTTAAAAATGTGCAGGCACTGGGAGAATGTAAATGAGGATGTTCATAGTATTTCTCCAAGGAGTATTAAACATTTTTGACATGTTTATATAACAGTATTTGTTAATAAAGTAAGAGTAAAGCAACTGATTCATATTAAAAGTTACTGCAAAATGATTTTTCTAAAGTCTCCTGAAATTTATGTATTGTTCTGGAGCGGAGTTCTATTCTCCTAAATTCTCCAGTTCTAAAAACGCTGGGTTCTGAAGCATAACCAATGTAGTTCTAGCATTTCCTCTTCTTTGCTAGATCAGCCCCATGACACATTAACTCAGATCTTCCATGTACTACAAAATGAAACTTAAAGACTGGAGAAAAAGTTAATGTCTCCATCCAAGATTAACAAGTTACATTAAGAATAAAATACTGTATATATTAAATGCAGTAGCAATTGAAGTCTATATTTAATAAGTTAATGAGAACAACTTGTGTTTATAGCAAATTACAATGTATATTATTCAAAGCTTAAAAAAAGGAAATATCAAACGTAACTATACTGAATATCTGCATCATTAAATACTTTATCAAGAAGGTCCAAATAATTCAAGTGAATCATTCAGAAATTTAGCACTGGGTAACATTATTAAAAGTAATGAACATCTTGATACTTCATATATATGGCTTCACTAATTCTAAAAGACAAAGATAAAATGATAAAAATATTAAAATTATTAAGTGGAATATCATCATAAATCCCGTATTTAAGCTAAACGGAAAAGCTGATTTACAAAATGATAGACATAGTAGATATCAGAATGAGTTTCCCTCGGGTATTATAACTCCACTTAAGGAAAGTTTTTTTTGTCATGATCTTTTTCTCAAAAACAGACATTCTGGCACTTAGGAGACAGAAATGTATCATTTGACCTTTAAACTTCTGTTTCATTAGAGTAACCACAAGCAACAGAGTCACTGACTGGCAAGTTTGCACTTTAAGGCCTTTAGCACTTAAAGTTATTTGATAACTGTTATGTCACTATTTGCTTTTTATTAGAGACACTGTGAGGAATAAGTTACATTAAAAATAGAATATATTGTGCTAAGCTTGATGAATGATATCATGTAATTCAGTTAAGTGTTCTCTTGAGCAATTCATTCATGTACATTGATGGGACGGGGCATATGTTTGAAGGGTAGAATTTTGTTTTGTATTCTAATGAATTAGAGAATAACAACAGATATGGTTTTAAGTATACAACGAAAAAACAAAATATGACTGTGACATTACTCGATTAAAAAAATACACCACCTGAGTTGCCTATACCGAAATAGTCCTAAGCTCTATCTGTATTGGCCTATGAATAGAGGAAATTACCAGTTGTAGAGAAGAGTCAAGAAAAAATAACTGACAATATTTAACATTTTCTAATGGAGAGATAATTTCTTATAAATACATATGTTAAATTAGTTTAAAATGTACAGACAATGTAAGAAGTTCAACAGCTGGATACTTCTTAGAGAATTTCAGAATTACGATAAGCAAATTGTTTTGAGTAATATGTAATGCAGATCAAATTTCCATTTCATATGACAAAAAATAATTGTTTATTAAAAACTAAAACCTAATTTGTTAGAAACATTAGTGAAAAGACACAGAGACTCTGTTCTTTTTAATAACTTTAAAAGTCAAAAGCTCCCTAAATATCACAAAATGTGGGACACAGGATCTAAATGGATGAGGTACAGAGCACACAAAATAAACAAGGGCTGCACCAAACCAACAACACTGGAAATATATAGTCCCCACATACTAGGGAAGCTTCACTGTTGGAAGCAATGAGTGAACTAAACATAGGTCTCCTGGAAGCAGAATGTGGGTCCAGCTATTTTAATTAACCATAATATTTATTAAATTGTTGTTTGTATGGGAAACCAAATACTAGTATATATCGTTGAAAGAAAAGCAGTCTCTTGAATCCTTTAGGGTGGAAATGGTAATGCTCACTACAAATAAGCAATGTGTTGCTTGCACAAACATACATATTGCAGCTCCCATGATAGGTGTTTGCAACCTCTGAAGATAGTGTTTTGTCCTTACCACTGTTGTTCAAACTGCTAAAACAAACTTAACATAAAGAGTAAATACAGGCTTAATTTATATTCTCTCTGTGACAAATAGTTTATCACTGTTACCAACAATGAAAAGTTTTTATAAATATTTAATAACAAAGATATTAGTTACTTTTGTATATACTTACTGAAATTTTGTATTCACAACACATATTATTAAAAACATATGTATTAGTGAATATAAAAATTATGACAGTATTCCAAATTTGAACTCATAGGCATGTTCCAAAAGCTGTAAGTCATATACCACACCCACATCATTAAATTTAAACATGTTGCATGATTCAAACAGAAACATTTCCCACTCTTTCACTTAGACATGTCATGTGCACTGATGTGCAATCCACACTTATAAACCAACTACCACCCAGTGGAGAGAAAGAAGATCTTTCAGGGAAATGTGAGGTGGGGTGGCAGGGGGAGAGGGAGGGTGATGAGAACGAAATGAAGGAATGAGGGCGTTTAGCTTTGTTTAGATCTAAGCTTTGCTGATCATCAATTTGTATTTTCATAGGTAATAAAATATTTCCGGACTCCCACTCTGCAGTGTTGCTTAGGGGTAAAATCAGAGTGTGGATGTTCATTAATGACAAACCACCTCAGAGCTCAAGCTTAGGGGAAAGAAAGGAAACAGGGAAAGTGAAAAAAAGAAGAAAAACTGAAGACTGAAGGAGGGAGGAAGGTGGGAAGAAAGGGGATAGGAAGACACAGAAAGAGAAAAAGAGAGGACAGAGTGAGAGCCAGTGAGAGAGGCAGTGTGTACACATGTGTAAGTGACAATGTGGAACAGAGAAGGAGAGTATGCCTTTCACACAGTGAGAGAGGGTCTGAATGTGGATGGTTCTTAGAGCATGGAAGTGCCAGTGCCTGCGAGGATGTGAGAGTATGTGAGGGAGTATGTTTATGGAAATGAGATTTATGAGGATGAGTATATGGTACTGGAGGGGGAAGAGTGACCATTCCTGTGTGTGCCACAGGGCTGGGAAAGGGTATGGGGAGAGGGATGAGAAGTGGGAGTCAAAAGAGGGAAGACAAGGCACAGAATAGGAACATTAGGAGGAATGAAAAAAATGGACAAAAAGGAAAAGAGCAAAGGAGAGGAGGAAAGGGTATTAATTGTGAGAAACAGAAATTAAAGCCGTGGAGATACAAATGAGGAGAAAATATGCGAAGAAATTTTTAAAAAGGAGGGAAAAACAGAGGAAATGGAAAAGATATGAAAAGAGGTATTGGAGGGAAAAGGAGTAACAAGGAGGTGGGGAAAATGGTATAAAAGAAGGAGGAAGGAGAAAAGAAAGAAAGGAGAAAGCGGTTAACGGAAAGAAAGCTAAACAGCAAGAAATCGAGCCTAAGTGTCCAAGTGAGAGGGAAAATAAATGGGAACAGAGAGCTAGCAGTTTGAAAGAGTCGCTTATGCTGGAGTAAAACAGAAACAAACCTGATAAACTTGCCAGACTCTCCGAGAGTACCCCATGACAGTAAAACAGAGACCTTGTACATTGAGTTTCAAAGTGGCACCTGCCCCTCCTTCTAAACCTGACACTTCACTCATCCCCGGGCTACTTGGCGTTCCAGCAAAGTGCTTTAGCATCACGAGTCCAGCTTGCTACCTGCCCCAGCAAAAACGGGCCAGGGCTCCGGGAAGGATCTGCACCTGGAATGACTGAGATGTGGTCTTTCCACGATAAGCACCACCAGCATGATTGTTCGTGTTATAAAGAAGGTAAAGAGGGTGAAAAGAGAGACAGAAAGATAGACCGAGACAAGTACGAAAAGCACGTCGTTCTTCCTACCTAAGCACTGCCGTGTCCCCTTTTCTGACCATCATGTTGTCCACGGCGGCCCAGGGGAAGTCCACACTCTGTCCAGCCGGGAGGCAGGAGGGTAGCAGGCAGCACAGGCTGAGGAGCACCGCCGCCAGCCACTGGTTCGAGCAACAAGCACCCTGCACCAACAGCATCATGTCCATCCCTGCTAGGGCTGCTCACTCTCCAGCAGCTTTCAGCTCGCACTCCCCCACCCCCTGGTGCTGGCGAGTCTTCCCGGGAACCAGGCGGCGCGCCACAGGATTTTTTTTTTTTTTTTTTTTTCTGGTGGGTGGGTGGGTTTCTTTCTTTCTTCCCCCCCTCCTAGTTGTTGGGTGTTGTTTCTCTCTTTTTGTTTTTCGGTGTTTTTGTCTCCCCTCCTCCTCCTCTTCGCTTTCCCTCCCTCCCTCCCCTCCCTCCCCCTGGCACCACACTACACCTCCTCTCGGTTGCTTTTGGCCGCGTCCGGAGTGTGTCTAATTCTTGGGCGGCTCGCACACCATCTAGCGAGGAGGCGAGCGCGCCGGCGAGTGAGGGAGGAGGCGCGGCGGCGGAGGAGGAGGCAGGGCGAGCGGCGGCGGCGGCTGCAATCGCAGCAGCAGCTACAGCAGCGGCAGAAGCAGCGCGGGGTGCAGCGCCGGCCGCCGGCCCCCGGGCTCGCGCGCGTTGCCAAGCGGCCGTTTCCTTAGCAACCTCGCCCGGGGACTGGGGATGGAGAAGGGGGGGGGGGAATTTAAAAAAAAAAGGAAAAGAAAAAAATAAAGCAAGAAAAAAAGAAAAGAAAGACAAAAAATAAATCAGGAGGAACTGTATGACAATTATGCAAACTGAGGGGAAGAGAGAGTAACCGTAGAATGAAGGCTTTCCTTACTGTCGTAAGCGCTAGAGGGATGCTTTGCTAGAAAAGTCTCCGTGTCGGGGCTGGGGTGAAGAGAGCTGAGGGGCGCTTTGCCTTCCCTCACCTGTGCGTTTTACCTCACGAGGCACCGTAAGTTTGAAGTCCTCCAAGTTGTGGTCGGCGCCATCGTGACGCCGGCGACTGTGAGTTGTTTTTTTGGTTTTTATTTTCTTCTAATCTCGCCTGGGTGGTTGTGCTGCAGTTAATGAGCAGCCAACTAGTTCTCTCTCTTTTCTCGGGAATAGGTAGGGACGGTGGCTGCTTTTTGCGTGGACACGAGGGGGTGCAAGGCCTTGCGATAGAGCAGCTTGTGTGTCGTCTGTGGGGTCCGCCAGTGTGGGATGCAGGACGCCCCTCTTTTATCTGTGCGTGTTGACACTAAGTTGTGTGTGTGAGGGGGAGTGTTTATGGTCAACATGGAGTGTGTATGTGACGGAGAGTGTGTAGTACGCGCGCGGGCCAGCAGGGGCCTGTGCACGCGCGGCGCGCATGCGCGCTGGGAGGGACGGGGCGGGTCGTGCTGGGAGGCAGAGTTGGGAAAAGACTGCAATCAAGTGTTTTAATTGTGTAGAGCCAGGCAGTCGAGTTATGTAAGAGGCAGTTTAACCCATTTGAGCCTATCTGGACGAATGATCGGCGCATCCGAGTCGAGGCAGGGCAGAGTTAAGGGGTTTAAGGAGTCGCAGGGTTGTATTTCTTAACAACCTCGAAACCGGGTTGAACAGCCTTGCTCCTCGGCGGTGCGGAGCGGTAACCCCCACTTCCCCACGCCGCAGCCTCTCCGCTGCTCGCTGGGCTGTTTCCAGCCCTGCCCTGGCCCAAGGCAGGAGATACTAGGCATGGGGCCGACCGCTACTCTTTTTTCTGCTTTCCTTCTTGAGTTGATTTCCAGATTCAAGATTCCTAAGCTTTTCCGGGCCATTTGCAAATCAATGCAAGAACCGAGGCTGTGTCGTTAGCAGTTACACCAATCAATCTGGTTCAGTGAGGTGTTTCGGAAGCAGAGCGGAGAAGTGCAAGTGGGAGATAAGTAATTAAAAAATATGCTCCCACCCCCACCACCACTTTTTCCATTCCTTTACCCCATCCCCCGTTAGCAATCTTTGAAGAAGATTATCTTTGCCAGATCCCAGTTCTTCCTCCTTTGGAGGAAATAAAGCAAAACACACATCCCTAACTCGTTTTCCATAATGCTTGCAGGGTCCTTTGGCAAAGCGCACCGAAGCAATACTCTCTGCAGGGGTCAGCATCCGGCTGCCTCCCCTGACTGAGCTCTTTACGAGGCAGGCAGGGAGTCGTTTTGCTTGGTGGTAGCAGCGTTCAGAGTGATTTTTATCGCCATGCACGGGGATATATGGGGAAAGGGAAGGGTTCCCATCACCTGTGACCACCCAGACTGGCTTATCGAAGAATCTTAACTAGCAACACCTCCCTGCTGAACTGACACTCCAAGGCTGGGCAGTTAACGGAGACATTTGCGGCAGGAGTTACTGATGTTAGTATTCAGCCTTAACTCAAAACCGACTCGGAAAATGAGAGGGCAAGAGTTTCAACCGCATTTTGAAACATCAATAAAATGTTAGTCATTGGCGGATGAATGAAAACATTTTATTTACCGCCTGGTATGCTAGGGAAATAATTGTCAAATGACAGACTCTCAGTAATATCGATGCCAGATACCTAGCTAACACTGTCATCGTGTTAACTGCACTTTTCTATCTTGCGTGGCACGCTGATGGATAAAGCATAAAATTATGTAGGGCAAACGGGGGATTAGAAGAATTGATATGTCATATACATGGGCAAAACTATGCAGTATTATTTATCATTTCACTGGAAACGAGCTAGATTCTATTGAAGAGATACAGGAGGCATAGGTTCCTGCATTGTGATTCAGTTTAGTGCTATTTTAAGCAGGGATGGGGGTGCCAGCGTTTTCTAGTACAAGCTATGAAAAGCATCCTTTTCTAACTGCTGTTTCCCAGAGATCTGACATCTTCAGTGTCCACGGGGGTGGGGTAGGGGTGGTAGGAGGAGGGATTTCTTTGACCAGGGATGGAGCTATGCAGCAGTTTTAATATGTACAACAACCCTTCAGGCTTGTAAACGGAAACTGTAGCCACTTCTTTTAAAGACAAAGAGTTTCTTTTCCTTATTTCTAGTTTTCATCTCAACTATCATTCACAGATCACACTTAGCTCTTAGAGAACCCATCTAAAGAAAGCAGTAACTGGACTTAGTGTATAGATGTCTGGATTATTGGGGAAATTTATTTACAGGTAGGTCATTATTATTTACAGCAAGTCCAAAAATCTCAGGTCGGGTAGCCTCTCTTGACCTTTGTACTACTGCCAGGCTTCTGAATAGAGAAGATGAATGTAAAAGCACTTATGATTTCCTATTCCCTAAACGTTTCTAAGGGCAAAAAATATCTGACAGGCTTTTACGTCGTTTCTAATATTTTCTTTTGAGGTCCTAAAATTCTTCCAAACAGAGACTTAAATTCTGGGTGTCTTGGCTTGTTTTGAGGGAAAATCAGAACAAAACCAAACAACAAAATGAGGAAAAAAAGAAAAAAAAAAAACATCTTATATAGCAAATAGTTTCTTAGTGGAATTTTTTGAAGTAGAAGAATTAGTAATAGCATTGTTTAGAAAGTTTTAGAGGCGAATATTGGAGTGGGTGTAATGGGTTACTCCTTTGGATAGAATTTTAAGGAAATGACATGAAGTTAATTATTACTTTTTTATAATGATGTACCTTTCTTTTCTTCGTTTTAAAAGCTTAACTTCTAGTATTTCAGGAAATGTAACAATCAGTAGGGAGTTAGTTTGGAAGGAGAAAGGTGGAGCCTGGTTGTGATAGCGGATTATTCCATTATCTAGATTGATTCCACCCCTGCCTTTCATGCCCTGTGACCTGTATTTTGAATCTCTAAGGATGTTGGAAAGAGTAATGTTATAAGGAAGCTTCTTAAGCTTGCATAGTTTAATAAACTCGATTTTTATTCAACAGTGTAATTGTGATTGTTAGAATGAAAAAAATATTTGTTTATTGGTAGTGAATGAGTAAAGCTAGCTTTATCTTTCCTGCTGTTACCCATTACTGTGTGGGCATGAGAAGTTTTAGTCAAGACAGGTCCCAGGACCTAAAGGAAGGAGCTAATGAGATCACTTTGTATTTTCTGAAGGAGACAGTCAGAAAGCCCTTAGAAACTGTACCTATGAATAATAGCTCTCTAACTTGGTCCATAATTGATTCTCTATTTGAATTAAGCTGCCTTAAGCTTGGAGTACCTTGCCAACTAAAACTGACCCATGCTGATGAATTTTAGGTCAGTGTGAAAAATACAAAGCTGATGAAATTTGTTTGGGGACAGGGAATCTTCCACTACAGAAATGTTTCTCAGTCTAGGCCCTTTTGACATTTTGGTGCAGGTAATTATTTTTTTGTGTGGAGCGTTGGGACTTCTGTGTGTATTGGAAAATGTTTATCAGCATCCCTGGCCTCTATCTAGTAAATGCCAATAGTTGTGATACCCAGAATTTCTCCAGACGTTGCTTAGTGTCTTGTGAATTGGGAAGGGGATCACTCCAAGTTGAGAACCACTTCGTTATGAGTTACATTTCCCAAATTTTTACCATCTTGTGTTTTTCAAATAAAATAAAGCAGATTGTTGGTCAAACACATCTAATTTGAATTATTTAGCTACAAAAAGAGCTCCTTCTCATCAATTCAATCTCTACATTTACCTGCTATGTAATTGAGTAGCCCAGGTTACCACAGATGCAATGAATTTAATGGCTGACCACAACAAAACATCTTTCCATGATTTCTTCCTAGATTGTAGGAGACTTGCTCAAATAATATTACAATTATGCACCCACAAATGTCTTCTATATTGTTGAAATGCGTAATTTTTGTTATAAATTGTTATTGTAAAGTAGGTGAGGGGGGGCTCTTTTATTTAAGCAAGTGTTGAACTAACAGGTCTTTGGAAGGAATGGTCATTTTGTGTTTTTTTCACCCCAAATAAAAGTATAAGTAAATGGTGAGCTTCTTTTGGGTAATAACCCATGTAAATCTTTGCATTTTTTATATTGTGACAGCTACATATTATTCACTCTGGGAATGGCTATTGCATAAAGAGGAGGAAAAAAACAAAATCATTTGCCTAAGGGATCACTCTATTTAAATATCATATATTTATTCAATTATCATTGATTTATCATCTTATCTATTCACTAGAAGCATTGAGGGTAAGCAAAGAAGTTAGAAGTGTATATGTGTGTTTGTATGTTTAGAGGAGTGCAGAGATACCTATTTTAATTTCAAAGCTCTTCAAACCATTTCTATAGAATTGCCTTGAAAATTTCACCTAAGTACTTAAATAAGAAAGAACATTGTTATAGTAGGTGTGGATAGAAATCATTTTTAAGTAACTGAAATTTCTACTCTATTTCTAAGATAACAAGTGCAGCTTTAACTACATTTCATTAGATAATTTACAATGAGTTTCAGGAAAATCAATAATCATTTATTTAAGATTTTTTCTCACATATTTAAAAAAACTAAAGCACCTCTATTCAAAAATAAACATCAGATTTGATACTTTCTATTGGACCATGAAGAATGTAAAATTTTATTCTATCGAAGTTATTCTGTTTTATTCTATTATGTAATTTCTTTAATTTCCTAAAAGGTTCAGATATTTATTGCAAAGATGTTTAACCTATATATTTTTGAACGCTACTATAGCTTGTTAATTTTGACTTTTTAGCATTTTTTTCTATAATTGATATATGTGTGTCTGTGTCTAAGTGTGCCTGTGAAGAGAGAAAGTACCTCATTGTGTAAACTTATGAAGACATATTGACTGGAATTGGTAGCTTCTAATTTGGGAGAATTTTTACTGTTAATATAATTTGCATAACATAAGAGTGTGAAAATGTGACTTTAAAACATAGCCCTAAGCAGAAAGAAAATAACTTTTGCCACTTCACTCCATGTCCACTTCTAGCAATTATTGAGATTTTTTTATCCCACTTGTTGTTGTCATGATATTCATGGGTAAGTAAATCATTGTTTTTTCATAAGATTAGAAAAAGTCAACCAGGTTTGAAGTGGAATTATTTTAAAAGGA